ATTTTACCAGATAAGGCCCACTGAGCTATGAATCTCTCTTATTTCAGATGCGACTTGGCTATCACAAATGATAGCTCGACGAAGTGGCTTATCGCATGAAAATGTAAAGCGGCCAAATACTCCTAAAGGCATGTTTCTAAATGTGGAAGGGAAAACCCGGAGGACTCGGAGAAAAAATCGACGCGACCACGAGGAGAGACACACTAACTCCAAATATATAGCAGGCGACAGGGTCTGGATCCAACCCACGACCTCCTGTATACCAAGCGAGGAAACAAACATCTCCTAGTCACTATGGCGAGATGTTGCGGAATGCTTTGTCTGCCAGCCGAGTCGCCTTTGGGGAGAAAAGGAGCGTCTTCGCTCAAGAGGCTTTATTCTGGAAACTACTCCTGATTCTGATCTTCATCTACTGTCAGGAATTGATGGCCTAACCAAAGCCCCTGTCACCTCCCACGATCACGAAATTTAACAATACAGCCAACACATGCACATTAATGGTTTTCATCTCTCCATCTCCTCGGTGTATGTAACCATGTTGAACAGAAAATGTATTTAAACTGGAGGAATGTTACACAAAATAAGCGCGAACCAAAAACACGATAGGAGTATAAAGTATAGGAAAGGTTAGCAAATTCCAAAAACATGATACAAATAAAACTGAACTCTTTATATTCCATGAGCCAAAGCCCAGTGAGTGATTTAATTTCGTGAGTTATTTTAACCTGCGGCGTAGTGATTGTATGCAGATTGCGTGCGATTAAAGTTAGTCTGGTAGACCGATTAATCAACCTTGCTTGTATGTTGAACTTCTTTCGCACTGCACATCGCCAACGGTGCTAATCTGTGGGTCTCTATGAGTGTCTTTATGAGTGTCTGTGGGTATCTGTGAGTCTCTATGGGTGTGGGTATCTGTGGGTCTCTGTGTATGTATTTTGAACTTCTATCGAACCGTACACAGCCAACCGCGCTAAATGGAAGTGCGGGGAACGACAACAAACTCGACACAAAAGCAGTTAAATTTCGATCTAAAGCTTTCGTGACTGCTGCAAGGATTCATCGTCATTCAGACGCTGTCTTCCGACAGACCTATTCTTTACCTGAGGACGGCTGCTTGCGTTGTGGCCGAAACGTCGTGAGAATTGTATTTTATTATGTTTTATTTGTATTATTTTATTACTTCCCTTCTACCTGACTTTACCGAAAAAAACAAGAAGACAAAAGCAGTTATAAAGAAACGCATCCCCCTCGGGCGAGATCCATTCCTGTGGCAAGTATCCCATTAACAGTCTTCGCCTACTCGGTGCTCTGCCATGTGGCCAAACAAGCAAGGAATTATCTACCCAGCACACCCAAGAACAACAACCTTAAGTTCATTGTTTTTTTCGGTAAAGTCACGTATGTAGAAATAAAATAAAATTTAACTAAATAAATTTTAATTTTATTTTATTTAGTTAAATTTTATTTTTATAAAATTTATTTAGTTACATTTTATTTCTACTTACGTGACTTTACCGAAAAAAACAATGAGTACAGTAATTTCTGCAGTCACGAAAGCTTCAATCCTATGTTAAGCTTAAGTTCAACCACTTAGACTCTTAGAGGGAGACCTTAACAGTCATTTGAATGAACACGACGTGACGAAACGGGCGATACGCACTCGAGATGCTAATTAGCATAATTGTTTGCGTTTCTTAAATGACTTTACACCGAAGCAGCCTTGGCTACAGAGCACAACGCTTGTGCACTTGTGGTGCAGATTGTTTTGCACATCGTGTAGGACTCGGTGAGATGGCGGCGGCAGCAGCAGCAGCTATCTGCTCGATCCCTACTCTCTCTCTTCCATCCCTTACCTCCCCTACCCCACCCTCTCTTTCTTCTCTCTTCCCTTTCTTCCCATCCTCCACCACTGTTATTTGTGGTGTTGGAGGCGCTGCTCCCCGATCACGTATCTTGCCTTCCTCCTCGCGCCCTCTTGGTGGCCCAGCTGTCCTCGGTTCGCCTGCCGGGACGTGCCACATTGCGCCAGCCGAGGCATCGGCAAGCCCCAGGATATTGGGGGCTTTGCCCGGTCCGCCAGGATGTGAGGTCGAGCTCCTCTGCCCGCGGGGGGAGTCTTCAACCATGTCGGTGTAGCCGCGGACAGAGGGAAGCTTTGCATTCGTGGCAAGGCTGCGCGTCCTGTCTCGTTACGGGCCCAGCCGGGACTCCGCTGCTGCACCGCGCGGACGTTGCGGGAACGTCGTCGGCACTGCACAGGACTCGACCACGGTAGCCCTCTTCTCCCTCCTGGCCCCAACCCCCTCGCCACCCCTCTCTGTGTGTTCCCAATGCAATGTGGCCTCATTACTTTTCAGCACGCCAGCTTCGACCAGGCCTATCCCAACCCCCTCCTTATCAATCCCTCTTTGTTTTACTAACACCAAAAAGTACACCACCACTTACAATAAACCAATGCTTAATTAAAAGTATCACGCAATGCACAATGTAACAATTAATATTCTAGGTTATTTCGGTAAAGTCACGTAGAAAGAAAATAATAAAAATTAAACAATAAAATTCTCACGACGTTTCGATTGCAACACAAGCAATCATCATCATGTGCGAAAACGACAGCAAGAAAATTTGGTTTTCACACCTGATGATGATTGCTTGTGTTGCAATAGAAACGTCGTGAGATGTTTATTGTTTTATTGTTATTATTTTATTATTTCCCTTCTACGTGACTTTACCTAAAGAAAAAAGAACATGAATCCCTGCAGTCATGAAAGCTTTAAATCGAAAAATGTTACAATTTCTGTAAAGCGCCTTGGTAAAATCACTATATAAATCTCATTAAGATAAGCTTGTTAAAAAATGCAATCCATTGTGTAAAAATAACTATCGAATCGTACAATTTTTTTTAAACACGTAAAAATGTATTTGTAACTTAACAAGCATAAACATAAGCCAGTACATAGTGTGTGAATTTGCTTTTATGAATAAGCTACTATGATCTTTCAACTGCTGGCTGAGTGCCTCTCTCAACTATCACCATCCATGGCCTCGTGACGCAATGAATCTCGAACCTGGACGTGGGATAACGAATTTGTTACTCCATCTTCCTCGGCTACTTTCACTCCTTTTGTTTGTAATTCTTTCATTATTACCGACCAGGGCGTCATTTTAGGCAAGAAAATCTGAAAAATTGCACGGAAACCATATCCCCTCCGTAAGCCTTGGGTAATCTTGTGTCATTTTCCATTAACAAACTAGACAAAAGTGCGACACAGCGAGAACTAACGCTTATCCGACTGACTTTGTGACTAAGCGATGTGGCGACTGCTGGAACTCGGTATTATGCCATTATCATTACATTGAGTAGGTTTACACCGAGCCCACGTTATGATAATACTATTATAATATAATTAGAATTACCGTTCTGGAGTATTTTTTTATATGGGGTTACTGAGCACAGACCCTGTGGTCCAAACCGATTGGAGGACTTTTTATTAAATAATGCAATCGATACAAAGTTAATACAGTTCTTGAACTTTAGAAAGGTTCATTACAACTTTGGGAGGGAAAAGAGGACGTTGGGAAGGCATTCCAAAGTAGAAAAATGAGGAACGAAGCTGACCGAGAAGTGTGGAGACTTTTCAGTAAGGTGCTTGAAGAGACAATAGATGAGACCCGACGGTCATCCATAACAAAAGTATTTCGGGTTGGATCGCGTAAATAGAAATGTGTCGTTAACGCACCACCACCCGACACGGCCAATTAGTCAAGTTTGTCAAGTGGACAATACGTGCCGATTAGCCACTACAGCACATGACATGTGACGTCCTCTCAAATAGTGAATTCCGTGGGTTTACTCTCCTTCACACCCGCGTCATTTTACGGCTGTCAATGTCGACATTGTAACACTCGTTGATACTTTTTATTTTATTTTACCAGGCAAGGCCGCACTGAGCTATGTAGCTCCTTTTTCAGAAGCGACCTGCCTATCACAAATTATAGCTTGGCGAAGTGGCTTATCACGTGGAAATTCATAGCAGTAGCCAAATACCCTAAACACGTAATGTTGATTATAAATGTGGAGAGGAAAAAAACGGAGGACTCGGAGGAAAAATCCACACGACCACGGGGAGAACATGCAAACTCCGAATATACAGCAGGTGTCAAGATCGGGATCGAACCCACTACCTCCTGCATACTAGGTGAGGTAGTTAACATCTCATCACCGTGGCACCCACGATCCGCCAGTACGGCCTGGATCTTGCTCCCTTCAGACTACCACTTTTCGGAACCCTAGAAAACTATCCGTGGGCAAGGATATTTTTGGCGATGGTGAACCAATTCACTTCAAGAGTCAGGACAGGACTTTTACTAACAAGACTGTCGCAACTCTCATTTTTCTATGGCGTATTCTCACTTACGATGCTGTTGTCGGAAGATCTGCTCATTGTTTGTCTGACCCGTTATAAAAAAAAAATCTATGACGCACCTCTCATTTTTGTCTATGAATAGTTCCCCCGATTTGGCACGCAATTTGAATCGAAAGTATTTAATAGAGCCGCCCCAACGTGATTGGGACCACCCTGAGTGTCGTCCCCTTGCATCCTGTCAACCCATACGGTTTACCCCTATACTTCTATGATATTTTTGGCACGTTCGTATACTTCTATAGGGAAATTGAGTCTTGAGGTCCGTTAGGGCATAACAACCATTTCAATACGGGCAAAAAAATGTTGTCTCTTCATTTGTGTTTCTGCCTTGTGATGGGATTTTGTAGGATGAACATTGGGACGTATAATGGCACAGGGTGACCAATAAGGTCTGAATTGGTCTGCAATAAGGTAGGCACTGATAAGGGATTGACAGGTATGGTCATGTCATAACGTAACTACGTCTTGTATTTAGATATGGGCCGCTGCTGTGTGGAGGAATGAGAATTGCTTTATTAATCTCGAGTAATATAAAAACGTTGTGGCGAGTAATTTGGCAGCTTGTGGAGGCCACTATTCCAGCCCATTACTCGGTGCCAGAGAGTTGCGACACTCTAGATGTTTCTTCCCTATCACGTCGACGTAGCACCAGTTGAACGCTTTACCATTCTTGTGGCAATACGTGTCTGGCGCACAGCAATATTCCCAGTTATTGTTTATGTCCGTGTAGCACCAGAAGTACTTTTTTGAGTGTGAGCCACACGGGAAATCAAATCGGCACCGTCTCCCGCTCACGGTCATCATGGAGTATGCCGGCGAGCACGAGACCCGCTCGATGGCCGACATGCACATGTACCCTTTATGTGACGCTTGATAGGTGCACTCCGAAGTGCAGCAGTGCCCCCAGTGCTTCGAGTAGCTGGTATAACACCACGAATACTTGTGATCATGGGTGCCGCATGTGAAGTCGGGTCTGCACGGGATCCCATGGGCAGTGACTGCGTTCTGATTGTGCCTCTGCTCCTCCAGTATACAGGAAGTCGCTGCCGTCTGTGATGCTAGCTCACCAGACCCTGGCAATGAACCAGTGTGAACGCAGGCCAGACCACTCTCATTACGCAGCACCCGCACGTGGTCGAACCAGTCTTTGTTGCTGTCAAACTTCAACCTTATCCTGATGCTGTCCACGTTGGTCCTGGTGCTGCTTGTCCCGCCGGAGTAGATGTCGCCAAGGTTGTTGTTCAGGAGCTTCTGTTCAGATGGCGAAATCGACTGCGGAAACTCTGCAAAGGACGCCGTGTACGTCACGACGTTCGCCGTGATCAAAGCGGCGATGACTTTGGCCGCAATACTATTTCTTCCATTGCACGTGTCAGTGAAGAGACTCAGTCTGCTGTACGAGTATAACCTCGCCAACTCTCTTTCGAGATGCTCAATTGTTATTGGCCGGATTTCCATGCCAGGAATGTTTTTCCCAATGTAGCCAAAACTAAATCTTTCGTTCTTGTGTACGTGGTCACAGCACACTGCTGACCACACGTAATCCGGAATGGTGACTCTATCATACGCTCTGGTTTCATTTTCCAGCGCGTCATCGGGATCGATGGGAATTTTGAACTTAGAGGGAATGGCACCAGTGATGAAGTAAGCTACAGAAGGCGATGGGCATTTTTCCTTCACGATGTATTGGGATTCGTTTTGGTATTTGCTCCATTTCATTCCGTTGAAGGACCGATCCAGCGGGACGGCATTCGTCAAGGTGAAAGTGGCCGTTCTTTCCTCGTCGCAGTGATAGGAACTGGGGTTGAGGTGGCCTCGGTCGTAGCTTGTCACCGCATAATCTTCGTTCACTGCCTGCATGTAGGCCACACCCATGACGCTTATTTCGGGCGCCATGTTGTTGCTGAAATTGCGATTGGTGACCTGGAAAAATGAAGTGTTATTAAGAGTTAAGAACGAACGATTTAGTTTTGGTTACATCGGGAAAAATGTTCCCGGCGTGAATCTTGGTAATTTTAGTGGTGCTCGTTAAATTAAATCCAATAACATTGACGATAAAAAGATACCTGAAGCGTAAATCCGCATTTTATAAGAATGGGGAACAGGCTCGAGGGTGGTGGCGTGTTAATGATACATTTATATTTTGAGCAACCTAACACAAAAAAACGTAGTGGATAATATTTGGTCGCGAAAGTTTACATGTTAAACTAATTAATATTTTACTTATGCTATTTAATAAAAAATAGAATTAGATAAACTACCCTTTAAAACTACCGTAACCCTAAGATCTAAACCATAGGGCGCCATGGTGGCGATGTTAACTACCTCGCTTGGAATGCAGGAGATCGTGGGTTCGATCCCAACCTAGACACTTGCTGTATATTGGAGTTTGTGCGTCTCTCTCCCCATGGTCGTGTATGTTTTTTTTCTCCAGGTCCTCCCTTGTTTTTTTCCTCCACAGTTATAAACATCCACTTAAGAGTATTTAGATAATTTTACTGCTGTAGATTTCCACATGACAAGTCACTTCGTTGAGCTATCGTTTGTAATAGCCAGGTTGCTTCTGAAAAATAGCTACATAGCTCAGTGGGGCCTTCACTGGTAAAATCGTTAATTGTTTAGTTTGAACAGTTGCAGTATCCATACCGGTGAACCCCTTGTCAGTGCCTACCTTGTTACAGACCAATTTAGACCTTATTGGTAATCTCGTGCCCTTATGAATCTCAACATTCATCCTACAAAGTCCCATCACAAGAGAGAAACACAAACAAAGAGACATATTTTTGCCCGTATAGAAATGGCAGGATGCAGTATGGACCTGAAAACTCAATTTTCCTGTACAAGAATACGGGGTAAACCACATGGGTTGACAGGTATGTGTATCTGTGAACGCATTCCGATTTGATGCGCCATAGGCTCAATTGCAATGCATGGTACAGTGTGCAAGACACATTGATATGCAACAATGATGTGGTCATTGGAATGCGAATCATTACCTGCGGTTCAACAAACCAAACCCTTCGTTTATTGGGCTCGCCTTCACACAACGACCTCGAGCTGTGCTCGTATTTGTACGCAGAATAGACAGGGATACGGCTGTTGGGGTTGTACAGGGTGGCGAAGCGACTCCTGTCATTGTATGTCTGGCAGATTTTGTTGCACCATCGGCAGTTGGTCACTCGCGGCTGAAGCTTCTTGTAGAAGAAGTCCTCGCATGCGCCGCGCTGAAAATCGTTCACCACTTTCGCTCGGGTGAGCAAAACGCTTAGGGCCAGAGACGTGATCAAGAAAAGCAGAGCCGCCATCTCCTTGTCCACCTCTGCGGTTTACCTGTGTCAAATGTGTTGGACACAAAACGACAGTCTCCGGTTATTAATTATATCAAGAAGTAAGTGTTTGTAAAACGTGCAATGTACATGTCATCAGCTCCATTAAACAGTTCTGGCTTGAATGTTCTACTGAAGTGGTTAAATGTCTGAAAATAACTCTCGAACATCATGCAGCGGAAGTGATTTCCAGGCCAATGGATCACTGCCTGGGTGGGTGAGTGGGTGGGTAAATGGATGATTGGGTGGGTGAGTACCAAGCCTATGGACCGCTGCGTTGGTGGGTGGGTGGGTGAATGGGTAGGTAGGTGGGTGGGTAAATGGATGAGTGGGTGGGTGAGTACCAAGCCGATGGACCCCTGAGTTGGTGGGTGGGTGGGTCGATGAATACCAAGCCTATGGACCACTGCATTGGTTGGTGAGTAGGTGGGTGAGTGGGTAGGTGGGTGAGTGGTTTGGGTGGGTGTGTTTGTGGTTGGGTGAGTGGTTGGGTGGGTGGGTGAATAGGTGAGAGGATGGTCGAATTGGTGGGTGCGCGAGTTCGTAGGTGGGTGAGTGAATGGATGGGTGGATGAATGGGTGGTTGGGTGAGTAGGTGAGTGGGTCAGTTGAGTACTTAGCCAATCGACCGCTGAGTGGGTGAATGGGTGGGTGGGTGGGTGAGTGGGTGGGTGGATGAGTGGGTGGGTGAGTCGGTGAGTCGGTGGGTGAATGGGTGGGTGGGTGGGTGGGTGAGTCGGTGGGTAGGTGAGTACCAAGCCGATCGACCGCTGAGTGGGTGAGTAGGTGGATGAGTAGGTGAGTGGGTGCGTGAGTATGTGAGTGGGTGAGTGGGTGAGTGAGTAGGTGAGTGGGTGGGTGGGTGGGTGAGTGGTTGGGTGAGCAGCTGGGTGAGTGAATGGGTGAGTAGGTGAGTTGATGGGTGCGTAGGTGAGTGGGTGGGCGAGTAGGTGCCTGGTGAGTAGGTGCCTGGATGAGTAGGTGGGTAAAGACGGTAATTGGTTTAACGAAACCAGTTGTTAAGTGATTTGATCGTTAGGCAATTATAGGAGAGACACATTAAAGGGCTTAATTCGTTCCGACAGCATCGAAAGTTATATCCCATTTTAACCCCCCAAAAAATGTACTATATAATATTTACACGATGGATATTTATACACAGAGATACGACCAATATTTTAAACGCGTAATATTACAAGAAACACGATTAATAAATCCATTAATAAATATTTACTCTACCTATAAGAGCCCGTAGTTAACAGGGGAGCGGTTGGTAAGTGAACATATTTGCCTGTACGGAGGCACTACACTACTATACACTACATTATATACTACACTACTGTAGTGAATTCAACTGAGTCGCAGACGTATACTTGGAGGCAACACATTTATTTAACTCCAACACAAAGGGGTAACTTCCCTTAACAGAATAACAACCTATGGTGGTGACCACCAGGCTAACTATGCTAGCTACAACGTAACTGCTACTACGGACGAGGACCACAGCTCGGGTCCAGGTCCACGTGTTGAAGACTCGTTGATCGGAGAACGTAGAATGTAGACATAGACGAAGGTTTCTTCAGGATGAACAACAAAGCCGGTCCCTCTGGGGGACCCGGCTTATATTCTCTGCGGCGTGGCTGGCTCCGCCCTTGGCCACGACCACCTTCCAGGCTTCTCGAGCTCCCTCTCGAATGTTCCCGAGAGCTCTCCGGGACCACGTGACCGCCCCTCGGCCCCCGTCCACCGGTGGCCCCCCTCCAGTATCGTCCGGTCACGTGACAACAGGTCAGCCAGAGTATCATGCCCCAGGGTAACCCTGGCTGGCTGATGCTCGCTCTCGCTCCCTCACTGGGATCCGGCAGCGCAGACTGCTCGCGGTGCCTCCGCGCTAACCAGCACTCACCCAACCACCGCTAGTGTGGTGTTGCAGCCCGCAACCCGGGTTACCCGCAATGACAACATTACCGTGACTTCGTAAGTCCCGGCACCACACAGTGCCAAGTACAGTCACTACAAATGCATCTAAATAAAGTATAGAAGTACAAACATTACTGTCAATTTGTCAACACCAAATGCAAACTTGGGACAAGGCAGCAAAACAACAACCGTATCAGACCACACCAAGACAACAACAGTGCCAGACAACACCAAGATAAATTTCGATTGAAAGCTTTTGTGACTGCAGGGATTCATATTCTTGGTTCTTTCGGTAAAGTCACGTAGAAGGGATACAACAACAGTCCCAGACAACACCAAGACAACAACAACAGACCCAGACCACACCAAGATAACAACAACAGACCCAGACCACACCAAGACAACAACAACAGTCCCAGACTACACCAAGACAACAAAAACAGTCCGAGACCACACCACGGCAACAACAACAGTCCCAGACTACACCAAGACAATAAACAAAAACAGTCCCAGACTACACCACGACAATAATAACAGTCCCAGACCAAACCAAGACAACAACAAGAACAGTCCCAGACCACACCAATAAAACAACAGTCCCAGACCACACAGACAGAATAACAGTCAATGGATAATTGAGTCATCTTCTATATATATAAAAGGGAAATTTGTGAATGTGTGTCTGTTAAACATGTTTAGCGTACTTCCCGACATGCAACAAGCTTGAAATTTGCCATGTGGGTACTTTCCAGACTGTACACCAAGCAAAAATTATAAAAATAGACTTTTGTATATATATTTTTTTAGGACGGGGGGGGGCACAATAATGATATATTTTGCACGGCAAGTGAGCTGTGACGCCACATCTGTCATGTCACCCGTATCGGAAGCGTAACGGAGTCTGCCTGCTGATTTCACCCCCCCACCAACCCTCCGCGGGTAAAGTGAAATACAAATGTGTTGCAGGTCTAAGGCGTTCTTCGCGCAGCATTGCTGCTTTATTTTTTGAGTCGTTTACTGCTGTACGCACCCTAAAAGTTGTGTGTGTCTGCGGCAAGCGCGTGTATGTGTATCAATGGACGTGCGCACGTTTTGGGGGGGGGGGTGTAGTGGTTAGGCACTGCGCTGCGCTACGAACCCGATGACCTTAGTTCGATTCCTGCGCACGGCCACCACCGGTGACGATTATTTGAACCGGTCCTTAGGCCTTCCCTAGGTCTACTCAGCCTCAAACGAGTAGCTGGTTGTGGTGTGTGAACATCACCACTGAGGAGACAAAGGCGGCCGGGCGTGGTAAATCCAAGTCCCGGGCGAAGCCGGGTAGTAAAGCTAGTATTATACATATGCTACTTGATGGTGTCTATAACATTCTAACTAATATTGGCGAAAAACAGCTTCAAATCTAGAATGAAAAACATTACTTTGCAGATTTCCAGGACGAAATGTTGAAGGGATCACATTGACCTTTAAGTTAGGCATCTGTTAATTCAACCTTGCAGATTATACAGAGATGCTTTTGTAATTAGTCTATGACCTATTCAACTTTTTATTTTTATTTAGCAGGTAAGCCCCACTGGATAGATATTTTTCAGAAGCAGCCTGGCTATCACAAATGATCACAAATGATAGCCCAACGAAGTGGGCTTATCACGTGGAAATACCCTAAACGCGTGGCGATGTTGATAATGAATACATTTGGAGGGAAAAAATCCGGAGGACTCGGAGAAAAATCCACGCGACCACGGGGAGAGAGACACGCAGACTCCCTAGATACACTCACCACTCAATCGTATCGTCTCTTTCGCGTGAAGAAGCTCCTGCGAGATGCCCCAAAAGTCTCATGAATGCGACCAATATATATACACCTAATATTATATAAATATTATAAATATATAATTAATATGTCATGTATGTAAATATATAACATTTTCATGGAAGGGGGCTCCACCTTTAAAACCACAGCCTGTGGTGATTGGCCAATGTTTGGTTCGAGAAGTGGTTTTGGCAGCCATATTGCGCAGTCATCAAACGCAAGATTGCGGGTTCGTCGCCGTGCCAACGGAAGCGTGGTATCATGTGCGTGTGGTGTGTGTGTGGTCTGCGTGTCGTGTGAGTATGGTGTGCGTATGGTGTGCTTTGTGTGCGTGTGGTGTTGTGTGGTGTTGTGTTGGGTGGTGTGAATGCGGTGTGCATGTTGTGCGTGCGCTGTGCGTGTAGTGTGAATGGTGTGCGTGTGGTGTTGTGTGGTGTGAATGTGGTGTGCGTGTGGTGTGCATGTTGTGTGTGTTGTCTGGGTATGGTGTGCTTTTTGTTGTTTTGTGTAGTGTTGTGTGGTGTGCGTGTTGTTGTGGTGTGCTTGTTGTTGTACGGTTTTAGCGTGGTGTGTGTGAAAAAAACGGTGATCCAATTTCGACCCCCAGGAACAAGTTTGCAGATTTGCTGAGCATTTCTGTAAGGTCCTGGGGGAGGGGAAATCCCTCAGCCAGGAAAACATTGTGGCACAAAGAGGGGCTGCGGTGCCTCAAATATTGGAAGAAGACGTCACCCCCTGTGAGTGGCTGGCTGAGGTGCCATCTGTTGAGGAAGTACTGAAGGCGATCCAAAGTCTGAGACCAGGAAAGGCACCGGGCAGAGATGATCTCTCAAGCGAAATGCTGAGGGAGGGTGGCGTTTGTGCACAGACTGCCGTTCATGACATAATAACAACAGCCTGGACCACTGGATGGATTACGCAGGATTGGAAGGATGCCCTGGTGGCCCCCTATTTAAGAAGGGGGACCGCACAGACTGTAACAACTACAGGGGCATTTCACTCAGTGTGCCGGGTTAGGTCCTGACAAGGATTATTCAACATCGCCTTGATAGGCACGCTGAGAAGAGGCTTGCGGATCCCCAATGCGATTTCAGGAAAGGGCGGTCTTGCACAGATGCCATATTTTTGTCCGTCTTCTACAGCAGAGGTGTAGGGAATTCCAACAAGATCTACATCTCTGCTTTATTGACCTGGTCAAGGCCGATGATACCATCAGTAGGCCTGGGCTCTGGGTTGTTCTTCGTGC